CTCAAACCCAACATCAAACCTAAACCCAGGCCTCGGCGTGACAACCTGGTGGGAACACCACATTCTTTATGTTCCTGGAGAGGACTTTGGAGTCACCATAGGGAGGGCGCAATGAGGACAGGAGGAAGTTGGAACCCTATAATCCAGAGACTGGGCCACCTCAGTCTTTCTGTTCCCAAGAAGTAAACATTAGCTTGACCTAATCTAACCCGGATCCATCTAATGACTTGGGACAGGAAGGCGGATTTGGAAGCCGAGCCAGGATCAGGAGTCACCTCCAGCTAATTCTGCTTGGTTTCTTCACCAAAACCCTCGGCTTTATACAACTTAACATTTCCACAAAAGCTGAGGTTAAATATTTAATCCTTAGACACGTGCGACAGCTCACATGGCTTATTAGGCATCTACTCAGTTACTAAGTTCCCCTCGGCTTCTTGCCCACTTTTTCTAGCTAACCATTGCTTTCAGAATGTGAAGCTCTGGCCCCAGGGCCAACACCAGGGGAATATGGGGAACTAATATAAGTGATTTCCCTGCTGGAACCATGATTCTCATCTGCAGCTTCTTCGTGCACTTCCTCTCTGAAGGAAAAACCTTTTTTTCAGGCTGATATCCAAAAAGTGACAAAAATGTGTTTTGATGTAGGAAATGAGTGGGCTGCTCAACTCCTACTCTTCACTTCTGGGAAATTTTCTAGATGTTTTCTTTGGTGACTTTCTTCCCACCACAATCTCTCTCATTCTAGAAACTTATTAGTTGGACATCCTACATGGATGCTTCAGCACACTTTGCTTTTCTCTCATATTTGTGTTCTTTATCCTTCCACTATGCATAAATCACTTTTGTTGCATATATTATTTGTCTTCCAACTCCTTTGTCATCTTTTCCAGTTGTCATATTTTTAATTTTTCCAGAGCTGCTTGTACTTTGAATGTTTATTAACCATGAAGAGAATAACAGATCTTAGTAACCTGAGCATTCTGAAGATCCTTGAAGTTGTCCCATGAGAAAAAGAGACTGACCCAGGGAACTTAGGCCAGTTCCAAAAGAGTATGAGTCAATTATCAACTTTCTTGTCTCCTTATCTCTTCCCATTTTTAAGCCCTAAATCTGTCAGAAACTATGGTTAGCAGGTGGGAGAGAAAAAGGGAAGGAAGGAGAGAAGGGAAGGAGAAGTCAACTGTGACACAATGTGACATTTTGAATCTTATACAGGCTTGGTTATACTCATTTCCAAAGGAGACATTTGTCTTAATGTCATAAGAATGGAAAGTAATTGAAAGTTGGCTTTACGTAACCTTATGACAAACATGAGCTTTGTACCATAACGTTGTATATGAGTAGAGTTCTACATGCACTCATCTAGCATTGGAGCATGAGGATAAATAAAGGTATTTCAAATGTGCAAATCTTCAAAAGTTTCATCTCCAGTGAGCTTTTTCTCAGAAGGTAGCAGAGGATACGCTCTACCCAAAAGAATGTTGACCTTGTCATCCAGAGTAAGATGGGTTCAGGGAGAAGATACCTGAGGAGGAGAGCCCACAGAGACAGCAATTCTGTCTGTGCAGGGAAAGAATTAGAAGCCTCAAAGGTAGCGTCAAGGGACCCTGCAGAAGCCAATCCTTTGTACTTGGTTAACTCAGCTTGTGAGTTTGATCCAGAGTTTCTCAAACATTAGTGATATCTTCAACAGAAGAAAACCAAGGAGGCAAATCCTCCATAGTATAACCCAGCATAATTTGACTTTGAGATGTCAACAGCTCTGGGAGAGTGTGCCAACAAGGACTGAAACACAGGCCCTCCTGCCACTTACAGCAAACTTTCTCCTGCCTCTTAGAGAACTACAGGCTGTGGAGTGTTTTTGTGTGTGTTTGGTAAAATATACACAACATAAAATTTACCATGTCAGCCTTATGTAATTGTATAATTACATCTACATTGAGTACATTCACAATCTTTTTCTACCATCCTTTTCCAGAAATCATCCCAACAGGAGGCTCTACCCATTAAACAACCACGCTGTAACCTCTCTCCTCCAGCCCCAGCCTCTGGAGTCTTGCATATCTCACCTCCCACTCTGTGGGCATCACATGTAGGAAATGTTCCTGTATGACACCCTAAGTGTATTAGTTTTATACCAGTGAAACTAATGAGTGCCTTCAATTGCCAGGCTTGAAGGCCTATAGAGGCAGCCAAGAGATGGTCCCCAGGTGACCACCTTGGTGATGCTGGGAGTTCTCTGTCATGAACAGCCTTGTGTCCCTCTCCACTTCATTGGTGGCCTCCACAGTCACCAGATGGCTGCACCCTTAGGAGACAGAGGTGAGGAAATGAGCACTGCTTGGACTCTACGCACAGAGATATTCATATATTTGTCCTGGAGTGGGGCCAGGGCAGCATTTGCTTTGGAAATCTCCCCAGTTGATTCTAAGACAGAGCCAGGGTTAAGGAACAGTGGGTGGGACATTCTTCATCCCCACGTGCAATGGTGGGAACAGTCTTTCCCCTTCCAGGGGACTAGTAAGGACAAAGGGAAGCAAGGGAAATGAAACCTGTAACCCTTCCAGTACAATGTCCACCCATAAGGGCACTCGATGCATGTAAATTCTTAAATATTTTAGAAATAATAATACTAACTGATAAAACTTGTTTTTATGTGATTAATTTATTTAATATGTTCTCAATACAATACTGTTATATGAATATTATATCACAGAAAGATAAAGTAATAACAGAAGGATTTTTTGTGTGTGTCCCAGTACATGTCTGTGCATGTCTCTGGGTGTGTCTGTGGGTGTAAAAATCTGAATCTGTGTGTATGTCATTCAGTGTAAAATGTTTGTCTGTGTATAAAGGTTAATTTTAGGGTGTGAAAGTCAGGGAAGGCTTCACAGAGGACGAGACAAGAAATGGACCTTACAGATGAGGTTGTCAGCTGTCCTGTGCAGGAAGGTTAGAGAGGGAAACAAAACACCACATGCCCTGGTACACTGGTGTGACCCAACGTAACACATGAGTGAGTGTCACTTAGACAACTATGGCTGAGCACGGAATCCTGGGTGAGCAGGGAGAAGAGGTCGGAGTGGTGCCTGGGACGGGTCGTGCAAGCCTTGCGTGCAACACCAGCGGTGGGCTTGGTCCTCTCAGTGATTCCAGTCTGGGTTTCTCAGGGGGTTGTCAGAGCTCCCTGTGTGCACCATGCATAGTATGCAAACTGAATATGCAATGTGTTTCAGAAAATAAGGACCAATTCCAATGTACATGCTTCCTGATGTGATTAAAAATGCACATTTATTGTAAAACAATTGGAAAAGTCAATAATAGTAGATAACTGTTTTCTTCTATTTTCT